CTCAGTGCTGTACGATGTTGGCCTCTCCATGAGTACCTGAAGGAATTTTTAAAAACAATTTTGATTCTGTTTTATCAAGAGATGCCAGTAGCACCTCCACTTCCAGTTGGGACACTGCAAAATATCTCCAGACATTGCCTAATATCTCCTGGGAGATGGGGGTGGGGGTGGGCACCATCACCCTGCCCCAAAACACTGTATGAAAATACAGAAACGTGATGCCAATCACATGCTTTTATTTGGGATTACATGTGTAATACATGTGCTTCTGAGTGAGAAGGTAACTTTGTTTGCTCCAAGCAGAAAATGGCACATCCTTTGTTGTCACTGGGCAAATGGTTGGTAGAGATTTGATCTATGTAGAGGAATGCTCAGTCTACAGTGGCAGCCAGGTAGTGAGCGTGTGCACCCCTGCAGTGCTGGCCAAGCAGGGTTCTGGCATGTAGTCGTTGCTGGCTATGGCTCTTACATGGGCAGGCTCCAGGCTCCTCCTTGTGCGACCATCCCCTTTGTTGGCCCCCCTGCCTGCTGGCCCTAGGCCATCTGCTCCTTTCCCCGGGTCCTGGCTCACTGCAGCTTGGCATCCCTCCGCCCGTCCTGTTCACCTTTCATTCCTGGGGAGGAGGAGACTCAGGTAAAGAAGGAGAAAGGCAGAACAATGCCAGGCAATTCCACTGCTAGCCAGATACCCCAAGGACACGAATGTTCACGGCAGCATGGTTGACCAGAGCCAGGTACCTGTCAGCTGCTGCCTGGAAAAACAATGTGGTCCAGCCCCACGCAGTAGCATAGTGTGAAGCCCTGGGACATGCTACAACATGGATGCATCAGGAAAACATGCTCAGCGAAAGAAGCCAGATGCGGGAGGTCACAGATTGTATGATCTCATTTAGTGCCCCAAATAGGGAGATTCATAGAGCCAGAAAGCATTCTGTGGTCACCTGGCCTGGGGGTGGAGGGAATGGGAGTAACTGCTAAGTGGGCACCAGAATTCCTTTACAGGTGATTGAAAACGGTTTGGAACTTGATATAGGTGGTGGCTGCTTAACATCTGCACGTACCACTAAATTGTACACTTTAGTCTGTCCAGACTCGGTGGCTAACGCCTGTAATCCCAGCACTTTGGGAGGCTGAGGTAGGAGCATCACTTGAAGCCAGGCATTCGAGACCAGCCTGGGCAACATATCGAGACCCCCATCTCTATTTTAAAAAATAAATTTTTTAAAAGAAATAATAAAATGGTTAATTTTATGTTGTTATTCTTATCCCAACTGAAAGCAAAACAAACAAACAAACAAAACAACCATGTAGGGTTCAGGGGAATGTCTATCTTAGGCCTGAGGTTTGATGTTCTGGTTTTTCTTAGGTGAACGGGTTCTGAAGGCTCCATGAAAAGGGAAGTCTTTAAAGTTGCTAATTCTTTCCTGAAAGGAAAAGAATATAATTTCTCAAAATGACTGCTTTCGAGGAATGCCCCTTTCTAAATTTGAAAACATAGTATTTAAGAGTCTCTCAGTGCTTTAGATCATTATTTCTTATATTCGATTTAAAAATCCCTTACAGTGGTGTTACAAATCTGCAGAGAAATTCACAAAGCACAATTGAAAGATGATATACAGGATTTATAATTGAATGAGAACAAACCAGCTGATTTGCATACAGGATGAAACTTAGCTGAGGGTGCTGTTGAGTTTGGACAACATTTGGCGGGACCTTTGTAACCCTTCGGCTCTATGAAACAATAGTTGTGTGAAGAATTAAAAGGTGGAAAATGAACTGTATGTGAATGGCTCACATATGCCTAGGTCTATTTCCAGACACCTTGAGCATTGAAATGACACTGTTGGTGAGACACCAGTTCAAGGAAATATGCAGACTTTCTACTCATAAATACAGACACCAATGAAGTGATAACTGGTGCTTGCACTTGGAGATAGAGCACTGGAAAACAATAACAGATCATTCTGTGTCCTTTTCTTTTAAACTACCTCTTGAAATTTCCGTGCTTCCCCCAAGAACATCCTCAAAGACGCCAAGAAAAATAACTCCACAGCAACTTTTCTGAATTCCAATATCCATGTGAAAATGCTGCATTTTCTTCTGATTTTTCACAATAGAATTAAGGCAGACATCATGAAGAAATGAATGTGTTGAAGACTTCCGAAATCTATATTAATGTGTGTGATCAGCTACTATAACGTTTTGATTGGTGATGTACTGTACATCATTCCTTTATTAAGCTAACATTTATGAAGTATATGTTACCTGTCAAGCCTGGACCGTAGAAATGAACTTAAAGAAGACAGGACTCTTCATCCTGTTCAGGTAGGAAAGCTGTAATGTGTGTTATGGATGATGTGATGGAAGGAAACACAGGATACCATGAGGAAAACGGATATCATCGCCCAGGGATTCTGTATTCTACTTAGGGAATAGGCTAAACATCAAAATACAGCAATTCGAGACAAAGGCAGACAGTAGTCCCAGAAGGTAGGCGTCAAATCCCCAAGAGCATCAGGGAATCAAGGTTCCTTTGGTGTTATGATCCTGCCTTGCTAAGGGTCAGATAGGCTCTCAGACAACCCCATGACCACAAGTTGTGCACATCCTTTCCCAGCTCTCCTCACCTACCATTGGCAAGAACCTAGTAGTGGAACACCTGGGGTCTCTAAATGAGGTGTGCTTGTGCAACTGAAAGAAAGAAGTGTTTTGGGGAGGAGCAGGGCTGGTGGATTCGCAGTTTCTAAATTATCTTGCATTTTACTTGATTACAGTGTTTGATTTCTGTTTCTTGAAGAAATGTATGTAGCACCACAAGCTCTATTCTAACCTACTGTCTATGGAAAAGCAGGTCCATGCTGTGTTGTATCAGCTTAGAGAGCCCCTTCAAAACCTCTCCACATTCAATGTGAAGGGCCTGTCACTATACATGCATGGCACATCACGCCAAGAGCAGAGGACTACCAGAACATTAGAATCCCTTTTATATTTGTCACATATCAGCATTTATTTAGTTGTAAAAACAAAGAGCATATGGCATTTGTTAAAATCGTTTGCATTTCACACAAATATTTGGCAATATGTAAACTTTCTTGCTAGGGCTGTTTATTGTGTTTCTATTTGTGTACTGATAATGGGAAAATCAGTAAGGACCAGGTGTTGGAAGGTCTGATTTCTCATTTAAATTTATTGTTTCTAGCAATCAACTAATTATTTTTGACATGTTGCATAACCAGAAGAATGTTATTAACCAGAGTCATAATTCCTATTTTTGTGCTGATCACACACAGATGATAAGTTAATTATAATTATTGAATTTAACAACATATATAAGAGATAATCTCAAATTTCAAGACTCTTATTTGTGGGTTACCATCTGTTTTGGACCAAAGAATAGGAATTTGATTGCAAGCTTTCTTCTGAACAGCTTGTAATAAGAGCTGTTTGTATATTAATTACTTATTGAATTATTGTGGGTTTTAATGTTTTAATTTACAAGCAATTTGGAACTTATTGTGGTGACATCTGCTCATATTTTGATACTTTATGATATTTAGCAATTTCATCATAAGGCTATTTTTTCCCCTGGTAATTTATAACCCAATCCTGAAAATAGTAATTTGGTCTCTCCAGCTCACTATAAGGAGTAGTGTCCTGTATCATCTCCACTGCATATTTTTTTCATAATTAAAAGTATATTTTATAAGCAAAATCAAGATTCCTTTGTGCCTGCTTCCCTGGTCCCCTTTCATTTCTATTCAGAGTTACAGATGAATTTAGTTTCACTCTCATTATCTTACTTCAGCCGTAGATTTTGTACAAATTGCCCTGGTTATTACTTTGATCTTGAATATCCTTATGGTTTTGGTTTTCAATGTACTGTAATGCAGTTTAGGGGCCTGTGAACCTGCAATCTCCTTCCTTTAAGCAACATAACTATAAGCATGATTCAGTGGGAATAATTTCCTTAAAACACTTGAGTTTCTGTATAAACTCCCTAATAAGAAACACCTTCACTCATAGCTTCACTTGTGGACTTCAACTATATTAAACCTGTTACCTTTTTATTATCACTTAAGACTATTAAATAAGAATTTAAAGAAAATGGTGGGCATTTAATTTCCTTAGTTCTTGAACTTGTAGATGATAGAGGATAATTTATACTCTCTAGGAAGCTGGAGTCATTCACAACCAAATAAATTATATAAGCCAAATATCGTTAGGTAAATGGTTGACTGTATTTATAGGGACTAAAAAATAAAAACAATTTTTGATATAAAGGATTATCATTTTATGAGCTATAAACCTGGCTTCCTCATAAATCAGTGCAAATGGAACCCTTGTGAAACAGAAATGTCTGCAAAGAGTAAATGAAAAGTTGAGCTGTCAGTAGGTGCCTTTGGTTTTCTTGATTTTAGGGGAGCCAAAGGAGACAGGATTCTGCCCCATTTCTGTGTTTTTCTAAGCACACGAGACTGGGTATATGCACACAGACGTGGCTGCCAGAGTTATTGGAAAGCTAGCCCAGGCGATGGGGAATGTATGTCTAAAGCATGTTGTCTTCTCCCAAGGGTGTGCACAGGTTCACGTATCAGCTGCATAAGGCCCTGTTCCAAAAACAATGATATTTCAAGGGAACCTTTATTTATCTTTAAATTTAATTTAATTTAAAATTAATTTAAATCTTTAAATTATCATTAAGTAATAGCAGTAGCAATAGCTGAGCTAATTAATATTAATTTTATCTATTTTCAGACTCTTCTATTTTAGAACTTCTACATGCACAATAATGCCTGACTGGCCAGTTTTAATTTCTCCTTTTTTCACTTTGCAAACAAAACCCTACAATCTCTGCTATGAACTAAATCAGAAATTAAGAACCAATAAAATGTGTTAAGTTTGAGTTAGGATAAAGAAAAAACCTAAAGGAACCGGAGGGGTGAAAGGTAAACACACCCCAGTGATTTTTTTAAGTCTTTTATTTAAACCTTTCTCCCTAGGCTGGTGCCCACAGACACCTCACTGTTTCTGTGACCGGATGCTGGGAAGCCTGCTGGTCCACAGGTCCACACATGAAATCAGCATAAGGTAAGCAGCCCAGCATGCCATTGGATCCTTGTCCTTCTACCTGAAACCCATTTGAGGAGCAGAACTGCATTTTGCCAGACAGAACCCCTTCTGTTTTAAATGATATTTTCAGGGGGAGTGGCAGGTCTTTCTCCTTGCTAAAGGTTGAAGGTAGTAGACAGGCCACCATTCGATCATTATGAGCGGCATAGTCAATTCCAATTGAGGAATTGACTATGGCTTCTGAGAAGTTGGTTTTTTTTTTTTTGAGACTCTTGGCTCTGTTGCCCAGGCTGGAGTGAGTGCAATCTCGGCTCACTGCAACCCCCACCTCCTGGGCTCAACTGATTCTTCTGCCTCAGGCTCTCAAGTAGCTGGGATTACAGGTGCCCACCTCCATGGCTGGTTAATATTTAAAATATTTTTAGTAGGGACAGGGTTTCACCATGTTGGCCAGACTGGTCTCGAACTGAGCTCAAGTGATCCGCCCACCTCGGCCTCCTAAAGTGCTGGGATTACAGGTGTGAGCCACTGCGCCTGGCCTGCCTTCTGAGAATTTTGGATCCTGAATGAGCTGTAACAAGTTTTTCTGGGTCTTACCAGGTGAGGATGACACCTTCTAAAATCAACCTCTCTTGTCAACATTATGAAGTATAATTATGCAGACAACTTAATTATAATTGGGCACATGTGTACAGATTTTATTTGGCTCCTATATCTTAATTCTATGCTTTATTAGTTTCTTAATGATTTGTGTCTGTCTCCAAATTGATTTGCTAGTTAACTTTGAAACTTATTAGAAGATCATGGAGATGACTGTAAATCTGGTAAGATGCTAAGGTTTCCTGACCAGCGAACCAAACAGTTGTATGTGCACAGGTGTGAAGAGTTGAGAAACCCATGGCCCAAATTGAAACAGACCTGTGCCCCTAAGTTATCTTACTACCTTTTGGTACATGGGATTTTGGTTTCATTTTACTTGTTACTTAATTTTCTGTCTCTTTCTCTAATGCCTTTTTGGTTTTAAAGAAAAACCCTATAGAACTTGAGCAATTTTAAAGCATAAAATGGAATTTTGAGGAAGCTTTTTTATTTACTGTTTTAAGAGAACCAAATAGAACTAAAATGATAGACTTAAATGTCATTAAAGTAAGCAGCTTACTGTTTGAAGTACTTTTGTTAAAACCAAACATATGCATATGTAGATTGTTTTAACAAATTAAACATGTATAAGTATTTTAATATTACTTCACTTAAATATTTGAAAGGTATAGTCTGTTAATGAAAACAAAATTTGTAATGTATTAGTGAATTTGAATTTTCTGACTGGCTGTTTCCCTCAGTATAATGTTTTCAAGGTTCATGTACATTATGGCATGAATCATTTCTTTTTATGTCAGAATAATATTCCATTGTGTGGATAGACCATGGATAGAACATGTTTGATCCATGCATTAGTTGTTGGAAATTGGGTTGTATTTCCCTTTTGGCTGTTACGAAAAATGATGTCATGAACACACATATACAAGTTTTTGTGTGAACATATGTTTCATTTCTCTGTGGCATTTATTTAGGAGTGGGTCATATGGTACCTCTGTTGAACATTTTGAGGAACTGAATTTTTCCACAGTGGCCATTATATCAGTCAATATTTTTTGAAATGCCATTGAACCATATTCTAAATGTCAGAGGGAAGATGGGAGGGGGATCTCTCTCTCTTCAGTGTTTTGAGTGGGTATTATTTCAGTACTTGGGGAACTTAAGTTTCAATTTAACTGAATCCAGCACACATTGGATTTCTCCTGTGCGTGAGGTAACTGTGTTTCTCTTTATATTATATATCTGATCCTGGGTAAGTGGAGAGAAGTACATGAAAGAAAGCAAGCAACGTAAAATATTTTCATGAATTTCTCTCCAAACTTTTCCTCTGTACGTATTTTCCTACAGTTTGGGTCAAACTATAACCCTAGTGGTCTTTTGTGTTTGTTGTCGTCCCCTGCCACCCAGTGTGGGACGCCTCATAAACATCTTTCCATTAACCTAGCTTTGAAATTTTTAACTTGCAGCGGGAGAGCACAGCTTTAATGTCAAGCAACGTAACTTTAAATTCTGGCTTCACTGGGATTTAAGTTGGTTATCTTCCCTAAGCCTTTATTTGTTAAGCCTATGAAAAGGTAATAATAAGAGTAATGGTCATATTTATCTCTGGGAGTTATGACTGGTGAGATCGATTGTATTGAGCACATAGCCCTCATGGCTGATACCTAGCTAGCGTATAATACATGCCATGTATTGCTTTCCAAAGTCATCTTCATGGCGGCCTGATAGTTCCCGTATGTGTTCACTGCAATTTATTTCATCATGCTGTCACTGGACAATGAAATTGTTTCAAGAAGCACACATTGGCTTCTTTACCATTACATAGGATGAAAAGACGTGCAAAGTGGGAAAACGAGCCTGTGTCAGCTCCTACATAAGCTGCTCCCCAGGCAGATATTAGGAAAGATGTATTAGGATTTATATGTAAACTTCATACATTTAAAAATTTCGTCTTAAGCTGGCTGCTGATTGTGAAATGAAAATAAACTCCGTTTATGTCTGAGCAGAGAAAAAACAAGAGCTGCTGCCTTCAAGTGGGCAGAGAGTTTGCTCATTTCCATGAAGCAACTCGGAGAAACAAGTGCCCTTTGGAGGCTGAGGTCAGTTCAAGCAGATCTCCCACTGGCCCTGGCTTGGTTCAGTCTGCATGGAGATGAGCCCCAAAGACCTGAGCCTTGTCCAGACCATACCTTCCAGCAATGGATTCTTCCAGCGCGCAGACGCCAACAGCCTAACAGCAGAAATGACACTCACTTTCTCAGGTCCCTTCATAAACAGAGGGCTGCTTTTGAAGATCTTAAAGATCTTTACATAATAGGGCAAATGGCTGAAAGATAAACCTTCCCCTCCAGTGATGTCAGAGGAGCTCCCTGCATTGCCCTTCCTACAATACACGCCCCCTTCATCAGTGTGTGCTTCCTTCGCTGTTTCAGAACACTGCTGGCCTCTTGGCAAGAAACAAACTTGCCCTTTCTGTCCTTAACTACCAGCACCAGCTCTCCAGCAGGCCCCATGTGATTCTACTTTTTAAGATAATGAAAACAGCAATTAAGATTTTGTTGTTTGGGGCCAGTGTTCTCCCAGAGAATGATGGCATATTCAATGCTCCCACTACATACTCAATGAAATGAAACTCTTAAACAGCCATTTCTCCTGGGACTGAATTCTGAACTGTTTTGTGAAGGGAACTGCGAATTAATAGGACTTTTTGTCACCTTGAAACCCAGGCTTAAAAAAAAGAAAGACTATAAATAATTTCCCCTTCAGTTTCTTGAAGGCTCTAAACCCCAAATTATCCCTTATATTGAATTACTTATCTTTTGCAGAGAAACTTCAGAAATGTCATCAGCCCATGCTAATTTCTTTTTTGCCTTCTTTAAGCAGCACAGTGAGAGAATGTTGTGGCTTTAACCCGAAGTGGAAGGTGGTTATTTCCTTTTTGTGCAGTCACAACTCCAAGCACCTCAAATCAACCTAATTGAAGGTGTCTTTAATCAAAGCTGGGTCAGGCAAGAAAATAAACACAGTTGCTCTAATTAAGACTCCCCTCTCCTCCCCCTCCTGTTTGGGGCCAAGGAGGAGCTGTGAATGCTGCCAAAACTCTCCTTTATTTTAGAACTGGAGAAGTTGGAAAACATCCACAGGAGTTCTCAGAACTCGGAGGCTGGAAACGGATGCTGTTCGGGAAACCGGTTAGGTGTTAGAATGCGGGTTGTGTCTCCAGCTGTACGTACTAGAAAAGAATGCCTAAACTCAGACCTCTGGTAGTAGTTCTTTTTGGGGGTGCTTTATGTGTGCCACCTTGTGTGCTTGACATTGCTGATGAACCAGGACAACAAGTCGAGCCCTGAGTGGTCGTGGGTAAGGCAGGTCTGTTTCCCTGATCTTCTCCTATTGACCTTTCAGGTCACTCTTGGGAGTAAGATACCAGCTCCCACATACTGGATATTTTCTGTGCATTGGGCTCTCCATAAAAGCATTGACTCCTTACACTCTCCCCTTGACATAAGGGCGATTTTATACTCAGTTTAGAGATGAGAAAACAGCCACGTAACTGACCCACAATTCCAGGGCTGGAAAGTGGTGGATCTCCCCCTAGAACTCAGGGTGTTTGGCGCTTGGCCAAAGGCTTCCTGACTCCCACATCTTTTCCTGTTCTCTGTGTGTCTCAGGACATGATCTACCTTATCTCTAGCCAATAAGCCTATAGGGATGGGGACTCTCGCCCTGATTGACCCTAACTTTATTGTAATAAAGTCATAGTTGTCATAAGAAGTAATAGTTGCAATAAAAAGTAGTAATTGTAATAAATCATGAACATTCGAAGCTGCATGTTATTTGCCCACAAAAATTTTCTTGGCACAGAAGACAAAGGCAGACTTCTCCCCACGGAATACATAGCTGTCAATGGCACTTCACTTTGAACCTTGGTGCAGAGGGCAGTCCTTACACCCTGGGCTGAGGGGTGCATGTGACACATCCTGAAAAGTCAAAAACCATTTTCATAGAGCAGGTCCTCCCCCAGCGCACACACAGAGCTCATGCACTTCTCTTCTCTTTCTCTGATTTCTTCCAGAATCGTGGGTCTTGTCTCCATTAGTCAATAATTTAACTTCTTTATCCCAAAACGCCCCTCCTTCCACGAAGGAAGGTGCTTGTGGACTGGCCTTAGGAAATGTTGTGCAGACAGGAACAGCACACCAGTGTCCCATCACTCAAGCCAGAAACGTGGTTTGCCATGGCCCTGTCTGCTTGAGAGTTCTGCTAGCCTATGAATACCACTATCATAGCAGCACATTTATTTGTGAGAAATTAAACAACAAAGCCTTGGGTAGGGGATCCATAATTTACCATCTTCCCATGAAATCTAGTTCTGGTTTTGGAAAAAAGAGGAGGAGGACTTTTTATTCCCAGCCTTGTGTGTGGTGAGGTTTATCTGGAACACTGGTTCTTACAGAGGACTACTGGCCAGGTAACTCGAGTCAAAAAAACTGAAGAAAATCCATGAAAACAGCCACCACCTTCAACTGAGCTGCTTAGAGATAAGTGTAGCTCAACATCCAGACATCCAGCTGATGGACAGTTTCTCTTGATTTTGGTGTGATGAAGCCCACAGAGCTGGAGGACATTAAATTCAGCTGTTAGGGTTAAGGGTACGTTCAGAGAATATTCTCATGCTTGTATCTAATAGTGTAAGAATATATATGTAGATTCTATAATCCTGTTTGGAATTAGGTTTTAAAAGAAAAAATAATCATTTAAAAGCTAGCTAAGTAAGTGTGGAGGGAGAAAAGTTTGATCCAATTATTAAATCAGTCTTAAAAAATTAAAATGTGTACTTGAGATGTAGCAGTCAGTCTTACTTAACAAATGATATTACATCCTGGCTCGATTGCAGGCCACGGATAGTTTTTGTTTTGTTTTCTCTGATGCTTAGAAGTCAAAACCCCCTTTGGAAAGTTAACGGTTTATTAGGGAAAACTTTCCAATCCTCAAACCCTAATTTAGTGTGTACATTTAAAGACAATGAATCTGTGGTCAGAAAGCAGAAAGCCAGAGCTGAAGCAGAAGTTTTTCTAGTTGAAAGAAAGGAAGATGCATAAGGCAAATTAGAGGAATGGACAATTGAAAATGGCCCCTAATTCCCATCGCCTCAGGAGCTTATGTTCTCATTCTCTGTAGTTCCAGATGAACACATGCATACATACCTGTATTTATCACAGACACCTCTGGGGTGGGGAATGTTAACCAGGCTGTGTATACAGGTGTTTCATCTCCACAAATCAGGATATCTTCTCTTCTTTTGAGGCAAGATCCCACTCTGTTACCTAAGATCTCACTCCGCTCACTGGAGTGCAGTGGCATAATCACGGTTCACTGCAGCCTCAGCCTCCTGGGCTCAAGAAAACCTCTTGCCTGAGCCTCCCGAGTAGCTGGGATCACAGTCAGGTGCCACCACACTTGGCTAATTTTTATATTTTGTAGAGACAGCATCTCCCTATGTTGCCTAGGCTGGCCTCTAACTCCCAAGCTCAAGTGATCCTCCCATCTTGGCCTCTTAGAGTGCTGGGATTACAGGCATGAGCCATCGCACCCAGCTGGTGCATTTTTAGCAGTCATTTTTAGTAGCTCAGTCAGGTCACCAAGCGGTGTCTGAGCCTGCACCAGTTGCCTTACTTTATAAATGGAGTTCACGTCAAACACAAAATGCTTATTTTTCCTCTAAAGAGCAGTGGTTCTTGGCCAGCTGCAGTTTTGCAATGTGGGACATTTGGCAACATGTGTAGGCATTTTTGGTTGTCACCACTGCAAGGGGGTTGGGGGAGTCCAGGGATGCTGCAGAACATCCTGCTGTGCCTGGAATAGGCTTTTTATTTTTTTCTGTTTTTCCAGAGTAAAACAGCAAAGGAGCTAGGCATAGCAAATAAAAAGGGCAGCTGGGAAGCTGGGGTGTTTGCCAGGTCCTGCCAGACACAGTTTCCCCTCTATGCCTCAGTTTCCTCATCTGTAACATGCAGCAATGAGATGAGACACTCTCCAAGATCGGTCCTTTCCAACTGCCCTTCCTGGGAGCTGGCACAGTGCCCTGCCTCCCAGGCTGACTCGTCCTTTGTGATTGTCTTCCTTTCCATGGGACTCCAGATTCATGCCAGTCCCCAGCCCTGCTGCCCTGGTTCCTAAGCCTGTCCAGAAATGCTCGGGGCTAAATGAGGCTGAAACTATGGTGCTGTGCTCTTCCTACCTTTTTTAAGAGGCCTTACATTTTAAAACTTCCATTTTCAAACACTCACTGGCTCACAGAAAAAAATAAAATAAAAAGTTGCAATTGTGAAAATGTAGTTGCTCAAATTCAGCTCATGCTCCTTATCAGTGATTTTCTTTCTTAGCCAAAGCTCATTAGAATTATTTCCTGTATTTTTATAATAGATTCTTCAAAATTAATTTCAAAATTCCTTATCTACTGTAGTCTTTCACAAATGTATGTGTAGCCTAGAGAATTTTGGTAATAAATGTTGTAATACATTTATATTGGGATTTGTAGTTGCAAGCCGTTTTTTTTGGAGTCAGGGTCTCACTTCTCTTGGCCAGGCTGGAGTGCAATGGCATGATAATGGCTCACTGCAGCCTCAAATTCCCAGGCTCAGGTGACTCGTACACCTCAGTCTCCTGAGTAGCTAAGACTACAGGGGTGCACACCACACTCGGCTAGTCTTTTCATTTTTTTGTTTTGTTTTGTTTTTGTTTTTGTAGAGACAGAGTTTTGCCATGTTACCCAAGCAGGTCTCAAACTCCTGGGCTCAAGTGAACTGCTTGCCTCGGCCTCCCCAAGTGCTGGGATGATAGGTGTGTGCCACTGTGCCCGGCCCAAGCCATTTTTTCAGTCTGTTCTTTGTGCTCCTCTGAGTAACCCTTCATAGCAACCAGCTTTCCATTATTCAGTCACCAGAAGTTAATGATATAAAACCAGAGATTTCCAGCTGTGCAGGATGTAGAGAGAAACCAAAACTCTATTCATTTGCTATTGGTGCGATGTTGTCACAGTCACTGCAGCACTGAGCATCACCAAAAGCCTGCCCAGAGCTGTGATGTTCTTTAGATAGAGTTTTGTTGTTGTTTTCTTTCTTCTCCTTAAATAATATTTAATTTGTCATTAGGTCATGCTGTGATTTCATAGCTTATTTCATCTCCGATATTTTCTTCTGTATGTTATCTTTTGAGAGAACTCTCCAGAGTTCAAGCACAAATCCTAAGACAGACTTGCATTTTGACTGTCACATTTTCATTGCAGTATGTGCAAAAGTACAGAAATGCCACCAAATTAAGCAAAGAAGGTAAGAATTTTTGAATGAAAAAGTTCTGGCAATTATAAAACAAAGTCTATTAAGAGTGCAAAGTGAGAGGTGGAATGATGCCAGGGCAGCTGCCTTAATTATCTCTTGCTGTGTTACAGACGACCACACGTTTACCAGCTTGAAACGACACACATTCTCTCACCGTTGCTGCGGGTCAGGGGTCCAGGCACAGCACAGCTGGAGCCAGTGCCAGCGTCCCACAAGGCTTGGTCCAGGTGTCGGCCAGGCTGCACTCTGCTTTAAACTCAGGGATTTTCTTCCAAGCACAGGTGTTAGTCGAATTCAGTTCCTGGGGCTGGAGGACTGAGACCCTCAGCTCCCTACAAGGCTTCCTGCCATTGCCTGGACAGATCACGCAATGCGTGTGGTGTTAATTATCATGGGAGAGCAATGAGGTCAACCTTACCATATAATGTAGCCTAACCTAGGGAGTGGCGCCCCATCTCCTTGACATATTCTGGAAGCAGGTGACAGATCTTGCCCATACTCAAGTGTCGGGAGTGTACCAGGGCAGGACTTTGTGGGGTGAGGTATGTCCCTGGCAAAAACCATTACTTTTAATCCTCCCATTGAATGTAAAATATTATCCAACTTGAACATATGCTTTGTACGTTTTTCCCCTAAACAAACAAAAACTAATCCTCATTCAACAATAAAAGTTTTGCTGCCTGTAAAGATACTTGAAAATGTATGATATAGACACGGAAGACAGTTCCCATGCAGCCTGAAGATGTTTAGTGCTGGCAGGGCATGGTGGCTTACACCTGTAATCCCAGCACTTTGGAAGGCTGAGGCAGGTGGATTGCTTAAGCTCAAAAGCTTGACACCAGCCTGGGTAAGAGCAAAACCTTGTCTGTACAAAAAGTACCAAAAAATTAGCTGGGTGTGGTGGTGCCCACCTTTGGTCACAGCCACTTGGGAGGCTGAGGTGAGAGGATTGCTTGAGCCTGGGAGGTGGAGGCTGCAGTGATCCAGGTTGTGCCACTGCTCTCCAGCCTGGGCAACACAGCAAGACCCTGTCTCCAAAAAAAAAAAAAAAAAGTTTAAAGATGTTTAGTGTTGGTGACATCATTGACATTAGTTGCAGCCTTACTGGGGGTGTCCAGCTCTTTGGAGTGAGCAGCTTACTGGTTTATGAATTCCGGTTTGTTCATGGACAACAGGGGTTCTTTCCTTGCTTGTTTTTTTGAGCTAGTTTGCTCTTGTGTCTAACCGGGTGGTTTCTAAGAAAACCAGACTCTGTCTTGGCTGTCTCACACAGAATCCCCTGCACGTTTTACTGCCCGTCCTCCCTCCCCAGATTTCTGCCTGCCTTCTGGGCACCAGAAGTCTTAGACGGATGCAGCGGGTTCTGTGGTGAAACACGAATGACAGAGGTGCTCCCTGCCTTCCATGTTCTGGCTTTCCACCAGGAGCCCCAGCCGCCTTGCAGAAACATCGAGGTGACTTGTAGCATGACCGAGCTCACTGGCACGTCTTCGCGGTGCTGCCCCCGCCCTGCAAGAAGAGGGGCCATGCAGTCACCCGTGGACCACGTTCAACGTTTGCGAGGGAGAGGTACCACCGTTCCTCATGTGGCCAGGACCGTGTGGTCACTCTTCGGGGGTGTTGACATGGCCGCAGGTGTACTCAGTCACCTCTCCATGTATACGGAAAAGTGCTCAGTGTTGTATCCAGCCGCATCTGCCTGAGTGCGCTTTGGGATTCCATTTCTGCCAGCTATGGGGCGCGCTGCCGATCTGCATGCACACAGCTTTACTGAACGCGAAGTCAGTTGTTGGTTGTTGTTGGTTGTTGTGCTCTGCTGCCTCCTGCTTCTGGCTCCAGTCATGTGGTTTCTGCTTATCTCTTCCCTGGCCTTAGGAAATAGACCAGCTCTTCTTTTTTCCAAAAACATTTCACCTGGGCATAGTTTTTGTATCTATAATTATGGAATTTTTATGTAATCACATAATTAGAAATAACGTAAATCAGATGTTAATTGCCTTCACGTGTATAATTAGTATAGCTATTATTTTCTTTATTCATCTCCAAAAAAGCAAAATAGAAGTGGTGTTTCAAAACTCTCTTCTCTTTTTGAACAGAGGGTGGCTCCCACTCCGCCAGCACCTCATCGCAGCGAGGTGAGGCTAAGATGAGCATAACCAGTGACGAGGTGAACTTCCTGGTGTATCGGTATCTCCAGGAGTCAGGTAAGAGGCTTGGTTTTCTGTTGGTAGGAAATTCACCTTCAGCATCTTATGAACAGAATGATCAATGCTTGATTCAAAAGCAGGCTCTAGAAGAAGTAGTAGAGCTAAGAAGGTTCTTAGTGTTGATGGGGAAAAGAGAAGGCTCTGAAGCCCTGCTATTCCTGGGTGGAAAGAGGGAATGTGTTCTTTCTTCCTGTGACACTTCTGTGCAGATGAATCAGGTGGGAATCAAGAGCAGTTGTGGTGAACGTGGAAAGGACGGAAGCAGTGCGGGGCTCCTGGCCTCCGCCTTGGCGAGGGCATGTATAAGCTGGGGTGTGTGTTTGAACCTCTTTGATTTTGCTCCAGAAATTTAGTCAGCTCCCTAGCTTCTCCCACTCCACGCCTCCCAAATGGGCCGCTAGGCAATTTTCAACAACTTAGGAACCATCCTAGCATCTTCCAGCATTATTGATTACCGCTAAGACAATACTTTCTGGTTAATAAGTAAACAGCCAATCATATGTGTTCCTTGTTGACAAAACAGACCTTGAGCTGAGCAGTTGCCCTCCTCCTCTGGCAGGGAAGTGGCAAGAGGAAGCCATGGAGCCCAGGGTCTGAGTTCTAGCCTGGCTTTGGCCTGGGCTTGTGATATCCCTCCAACAAGTAATTTGGTTTCTAGAGTGAAAACTTTTTTTTAATTTTAAAACTTAGAAGATACGTAATTTAAGACCTACAAAATGACATTGGTGAAAAAACGTTCTGATAACCACCTACCCATTTAACTTGAGAAATAAACCTCTCTGGTGCAATGGAAACCCCGCCCAGCTTTGCCTCCCCGCCTTCCTTGATAATAATGACCCTGGTGGACTTACTGTGCATTATCTGCATGTGGCCATTTTCCTAAGCAATATACAGTGTGGGTGGATTCGTTTCCTAGGGCTGCTATACCTGACGTACAGCAAACTGGGGTGGCTGAAAAGGAAATATGTTTTCTCCTGGTTCCTGGGGACAGAAGTCCAAGGTGAAGGTATGGGCAGTTGGTTCCTTCTGAGGGGGAGTCTCTCCTGGGCCCCTGCCTTGGCTCCTGGGGCTTTGCTGGCAGTCTTTGGAATCCTTGGCTTCTAGGTGCGTCACCCTCATCTCTGGGTTCACATTTCTTCATATTTCCCCCCGGGTAAAGACAGTCAGATAGGATTCGGAATTTACCCTCATCTAGGACAACCTGATTTTAGCTATTGTTTTTGAATGCAGCGATAATCACATCTGGAGTGACCCTGTTTCCAAATCGCATATAAGATACACTGTTGCACCTCAGGATGGTGCATTGGAGGGGGCATACTTTAACCCATAACAGTTGGTTTTGGGGTCTTTATAAGATTCAAGCCCTTGATATCAGATTGTATATATTCTAGAACTCGATTATTTGAAAAGGAAACCCTAGTTCCTAGGCCCCCTCCTCCCAGAGATGCATGTATTTGATTTGAGGGAAAACCAATCTATGATCCTCTGGGCGTGGGTTCTCTCACAGCTGGCCTGGTAGGGTAGGATGAAGGCATTGGAGCCCCACAGAATGGCTCGAGCTCTGATCCTTGAATAAGTCTGAGTGAGGCCTGTTCATTTGAGCCTCGGTTTCCTTGCCTAGGCAAATGTGATCAAGTACGTCAGGCACACAGCACATTGTAAATAAATGTCTTCTCTGTCCAAGCCTGGATCTCTGTCCCTTGCACTCCCAGCTAGTGTTATTCATGGGAAGTACACATTGTTTCTGCATGTTTATCAGATGCCTTCAATTGGCTGTTGCCAGAACATAGTATAAGATAATTGGTATACAAAACAAAGTATGTACTGCCTTGCCCCTGGAAATCAGGGAAATGCTGACCACTGTGCTAATACCTCAGACTTGGCTCTTTGAGGAGCCCAGGTGGCCTCCTGTCTCAGAGCTCAGAGCTTCCCAGAGGTGCCTGCAAATGGAAATCACATGTACCAAACCCTGCTTCCCTGTCGACTTGTGGCATGGAATTTGAGATTCTTCCATTTAGCAACACCTCTGCACAAGGACATGATGAAGGCCAAAGAGACTCACAGCTCTTGTATAAACAAGTCCCAAACTGGAGCTGTCGGGTATAAAGGACCACGTGCTCTGTAACCTGGAGACAGAGCCGTGCTGCTGGCTGGTCCCCAGGCCCACGGAGCATGAGCTTTGCTGGCTTCTTGAAATAAACACAGAAACCCCCATCCCTCCCCAGAAAGGTCGGCTTCCTTATTCAGTGTTTGTTTATGAAGCTTCTGTAACCAGGCAGCTGAGAGGGAGAGTCGGAGCACAACAATGCATAGACCTCGGCAAATGTCAACTTGGTGTAACATCTGTGAGCTCCGTTTCGGATTCATCAGTGTCACTGAAGTATAATAACACTTCTTAGGCAGAGTTGGTGTTGAAGACAGAGACTGTTGCACTTTCTTCAAATCGCTGTATGCATCCCGGAACTTTTTGGAGCACCCTACCACACTACAAGGTTGTATTCAAAGGAAGAAGGGAGCAAAGAAATGCTTAATGTTGAAATGTTCATTCTGGGGTATTTTCTATGTTTGTCTCAAGTCCTAAAGTTTTGGTTAGGTCAATCAATATTCATTGATCCCCCATCAAGAAACAGCACCTTCTCAGCCTAAGGCTATCTCCCTTCTGCCTTAAATAAAAAGGAAAACATTCTCGTGATCATGCTTCCTCCTCGAGCACCTGTGCTCTTACCCTACCAAACTTATTAAACACAGGCTCTGCATCTCAGAAGATGATTCATTTCTCAACTCCCTCCAGTCTGGCTTTCTCCATTAGAAGTTGTCAGCAAATTCTGGGTTCCTGGATCCAGTGATCTTACTGCAACTGCCATTCCTCCTTACCTGTGTGTGGCAAGAAGCGGGTGTTGGGGGTAGGTGAGGAAAGGAGTAGGTGTTTCCCTGCAGTGCAGCTGGCTCTCTGGAAGGTGTACTTAGAATGCTAAACCCCACCTTCCTGGTGCAGTGACAGACAGGTTTTCCAGAGTCACCAAGCTTGTGGCCTGAGCCCTGCTGCTTTGCCCTGGACCCAGCAGACGAGATGCCATTCCTGTCCATCTGTTCATCTCCTTCACCAATGTCTCTCTTCCTCCCCTCTGCCAGTATCCACGGTGTCAGTTAGGATTCATTAGGCTGCAAAAAAGGGAATCCTCAGTGGAGCACTGATGGCCATACTGTTCTTGTGATAGTGAATACGTCTCACAAGATCTGATGGTTTTATAAAGGGGAGTTCCCCTGCACACCCTTTCTTGCCTGCCACCATGTAAGACATGACTTTGTTCCTCATTCACCTTCTGCCATGATTGTGAGGCCTCCCTGCCATGTGGAACTGTGAGTCCATTAAGCCTCTTTTTTTTTCTTTATAAATTACCCAGTCTTGGGTATGTCCGTATTAGCAGCATGAGAATGGACTAATACAACACGCGAGTCCTCTGGCCTCTGTCTTACAAGATCTGTTGCCCAGTCACTTGTGCTATCTGGGCAATTTTTAAGAAGCACATGATGGCCATGTGCCTTTCTCATGAGCTCATATTACCATTCCAGGAGGAGAGAAGCAAGGGAGCGAGCCCCTATAAATGTGCACAACCAGAACCTGCTGTGGTAAGCAGCTCCCCCAAATGCTGGGGGAATCGTGAGTTGTTTGCCCCCGCATATTTCTGAATACAGCAAGGGAAGTGGAAGTCCATTTTCCACTTAGTGTAGAAAGAGAGAAAATTTGGCAAGCGAGTCCCTGTAAACATATTATTTCCTCTGGGACTTCATCCCAAATGCAAACTAAAGAAAACATGTTCTCCCAGACCCACATTTTTAGCATAAATTAAATAATTCACAGAAACTTGCAAAATGGTATGAGGAATACAGGGCAACAGAACCACAAATTCAGACTGAACTTAACTGAGAAAGAACTGTGCCTGCAATATAATCGGGTGATAGATTTGGGGGGAAGGGAGGTACTATGAAAACTTTACTTTTTTATTTGTTGAGACTCACTTATGCTGAGGGTCTCACTCTGTTGCCCAAGCTGGAATGCAGTGGCACAATCACTGCACTCACTGCAGCCTCTACCTCCCAGGCTCAAGTGATCCTCCCACCTCAGCCACCCGAGCAACTGAGACTACAGGCTTGTGCCACTAGAAATTATGCCCAGGTAATTTCTTATTTTCTGTTTTATTTTATTTGTAGAAACAGGGTTTCATTATGTTGTCTAACTTGGTCTCAAACTCCTGGGTCCAAGAGTCCTCCCACCTTGGCCTCGTAAAATGCTAGGATTATAGGCATGAGCCGCCATACCACCCAGCCAAAAATATTTTTTAAAGGAGAAGATACTGGCTGAAGAGGAAAGAAGGAAGGAATGTGGGGAGCCATCTTGAGCATAATCAACACACAGAACAGTTTTGTCACCCTCAGAATTGCCTTGTGTCCCTTTGTACTCAGCTCCTCTTCCATCCCCACCCTACCCCTGGCAACCATCACTGTGTTCTGTCCCTAGAGTTTTGCCTTGCAAGAATGGCATAGAGATGGCGTCATACATTGTATAGCCCTGAGAGTGTGACATCTTTCACTCAACCTCATGCACTTGAGATTCATGCATGCTATTGTGTGCACCAGCCATTCGTTCTTTAATAGCTAAGTGGCATTCCATTTTGAATGCTGTTTCAGTGATTTGTTTATGTATCCTCCTGTGGAGGAATATTTCGGTTCTTTCCGGGTTTTGGTGATTCTAACATAAAGCTACCAAAAAACATTTTCATACAGATCTTTTGTGTGAATGTAGGTTTTCATTTCTCTTGGGTAAATATCTAAGAGTGGGGTTGCTGGGTCATGTAATAAGTGTAGATTTCACTTTATCAGAAACCAGTGCATTCTTTTCCATCTAAGGCAGAGGCAGGACACATCATAAACATGAGTGGTTTTATAGAAATGAGTTGAGTCGCAGAGCTCCTCTGCCTGTCACACAAGGCATATTG